CCCAGATATCAGTTATAGGAATAACCCTTTGATGATTGTAGGACCGGATTCTCATGATCACAATTTTTTGTTTGAGCCTAAAGATCAACCAATAATTATGGCCCTTGCTGAACTGAAGGGTATGAGGACAGGAAAAAATTGCATATAAAATGTAGAAAACCCTTTGGTAATACAGAATCTTTAAATGTGTGAACTATCTAGGTTGATTTCTGCTTAACGTGTGATCTACCAGTTTAAATGCCAACCAATAAACATGCATTATAGCCTACTGGGCACTTAAAGAATATACTTTTGTGGCACCAGGGGGCCCATCACTATTTTCTTCTCCAACCAACTATGATAAGTCTAAATTTGTTAAGTCATCTACACAGAAATTACTCCTAGTGCCCTATTTCCTGGAGTAAAGGTAGCAGAAGCCAGGAGGTACTGCCTTTTAATAGCATCACAGATTCTTTGGAAGAATCTTCCCACAGTGGACATCAGGCTGTCATCAATTGCTGCCTGCATTCAAAGCGATATTGAAGAATGAATTATCCATGGAGAACCTTCTAACTAGATCAGGACATATTCTGTTTTATTCTTCCTGAGTTGTCATTGTTTTCACCATGACTTCTGATTTTATGTCTTTTTATGCCTCCTTGTTTGAAAAGATTTTTTTTAATATCTTGTAAGCTGCTGATAGTCAAATTGATTGAAGTGAGGTACAAATGCAATAAATAAACAACTAGTTTTTTGGTGCCTTTGAGATTCTTTGCCCCACCCTTGTTATTTTTAGATTCTTTTAATTTAGAAAAGTACGGTTTAAAGAAAACCCCCTCAAACACTCTTTATAAAGGATGCCTATCTATGTTACATAAGCCCTGTAAAGTTAATAGCAAAGTGCAGCTCAGTACCTTTAGAACAGTGGTTCTCAACCTTTTTAATGCCGCGACCCCCAACCGGTCGTAAGTCGAGGACTAAACCGGTCGTAAGTCGAGGACTAAACCGGTCGTAAGTTGAGGACTACCCAACCGGTCATAAGTTGAGGACTTTCCCTGCCCGGGAGCACCGCGCATGTGTGGTTCCGCCCCCTGCGCCGGCCGAGGTGTAGCTGGCAAGCGGCAGAGACAGAGCAGGCCGACCACCAGCTGGCCCAGCTCAAGGGAGGTAAGGCACCCGCCGGAAAAGGGGAAAAAAATGGCGGACAGCCTTGCTTGGCGACCCCCGTGAAATGGTCGATCGACCCCAAATGGGGTCGCGACCCATAGGTTGAGAACCGCTGCTTTAGAAGTATGCCCATATGGCTGGAAAAATACAAGGGTAAGTTGTGATGTGGAGGCTATCCTGAGAGACTAAAAAGGAGATGATAAGGAGCAACTCCCAGCAGTTTGCCTTCTGTTAAATGTGTGTTATAGGACATAGCATAATGGATGGTGCTTTGTGATATTTTGCATAATATATTCTCAAAATTCCAAATGAATTTCCAAACATCGGAGGACTCCTGCTTTGGATAAAGAGATCTTTGAATAACTGATGCGATACTCCATGCTTAACATTTTTATCAGTCCTTCAGTATTAATTAAGAAACAGTCACAGCAGGAATTCCAGGAATGCTTTTTATTATAGAAAGGTAGAATAGCAAAATCTAGGCTGCCCATCCAAGACCTTCTCTGACCTATCTTATATTAAATAAAATCAATGCAATGTTATTTTGAATCTCTTTCCCATGGTTCCCTCTGTCTCAGGACAATCTCTTCCCCTTAATATCTCTCTCATACTTTCCCCAGATCTATTATAAACTTCTTTATACATTTGCTTTGTGGCCCCTAATTTGAACAGGCCTGTTCACTAACTTTATTAATAGCTGTCTGATAATCTACTAAGAATACAGCATTTACAGGCACCTTAAGAAAGTGTAGTGGGCTGAGGGAATGACCTTGAGAGACAGGAAGAGGAGGTGCAGCCTAGACAACTATCTGATTTGAGAATGAGTCCAAAGCAGGAATGGTGATGGAGAAAGCATCTCAGAATTGACTGCCCAGCACCTCAGAATTGACCCTCCCTAGTTCTCTGGAATATAATGGCGAGACTGATGTCTGCCCTTCAAGGTGGTCCTAATCAGGAAACTAAAGCCCAAAATATTAATACTTCCTTTATTGTGAGTTTACAGTAACAGAATCTTGCAAGACTAAAAAGCAGTTCCTCTTCCCCTGCCTTTTCATTCCAGAGAACTAGAGGAAGGTCAGTTTCGTCACCCCCGTTCCTGCTTTGAACTTTTTCTCTTATCAGACAGTTGTCCAGGCTGCAGCTCTTCCTCCTGTCTCTCAAGGCTATTCCCGCAATCCATTAGAGAAAATCCTAGTTTAAAAAAATGGCCGCACACAAGGAGGAATAGATGTAGAGAAGGGACTAGGTTGCTTTATATATTCATGTATTAAAACTGTCTTTAAGATTTTGGTCTGAGAAATGCCTTGCAATGAAGTAAAAGAGCTTCAGTCTTACTCAGCAATAAGCTGAAATATGTGAAAGACACAAACAATGGAAGAAGTACAAGACAACATTATTATATGGGTGGTATATTTCCAATTATATACACAATATATAGTTCACCACCCGCCTAATCCTTTTTTAACTTTGTAATTTGTGTGATTTCTTCTATGTGATTCTTTGAACCTGGGATCATTTGATTCTTTCCCATATGTTCTATACCAGTGATGGCGAACCTTTTAGAGACCGGGTGCCCAAACTGCAACCCAAAACCCACTTATTTATCGCAAAGTGCCAGGGCTGCATCAGCATTGTGGTGCTCTCGGGGGGTGGGTGGGGGCGTGGCCCACTGGGTGAGCGTGGTTGCAGTGGTCACGGCAGACTGGGTGAGTGTGGCTGGGGCCAGGGTGGCGGGGGCCAGTCCCTCGCCATCTCCGAGGCATCCCCGGGGGGCCAATGCCGCTTGCTCACTCACTTCCTGCCCTGTCGTTTCCAAATGCCACGTGCTCGCTACTCTGGCAAACTCTGCTGGGGCAACGGCACGCGTGCCCACAGAGAGGGCTCAGAGTGCCACCTCTGGCACGCGAGCCATAGGTTCGCCACCACTGTTCTATATTATATAAGTTTACAGTGTGGTGGGGATACAAGGTTGGTAGCTTTGAATTTACCCTCTGCCTGAAACACAACTAAACTTTATCAGAAAAGGAGCATGTGATTATGACCTTGAATAACTGATTGAGTTTTGAAAAGCTCAGAGTTCCCCTCCCCAGATGGACTTTTAGAAAGACTGCCAAAATACCACAGACTTTTCAAGTTGACAGTAAGTCTCACAAGCAGACCTATTTCTCTGAGGTCTCCTGCTGAGTTTTAAAGTCTAAGAAGCTCAAACAGTGTGTATAATTTGGCATCCTCCTGCTACTTATGCTGTGCAACTCAAATTATGCATAGCTTGAACTCCTGCCAGTTTTATGCACACCTATGGGATTAATAAACTTGCTGCTCATTAAATTCACCGGTAGCTCCCCTGGAAGGGTACAGAAAGTAAACTAATGCCAAAACATTACAGTTATTCTATTCCAGCAATCCGTTTGAAACCTTTGATGTAAATAATAGTAATCTGTTTTTCCCCGATATGATCTGTAGTGGCCATTCTGGATCATTTTTTGCAGAATTATAAAGTACTTGTTTCAGGGATAAAGTGGGAATGTTATTTATACATTGATTATTAAGATATGCTTATTATTAAGAAAGTTAATATCCATTCTGTCTTGGTTCATGTATTTGATTTCTTATTCATGGCCCTAAAGTTTTTTTTTTAAGGGATTGAATAAGGTGAAGTCAGTTTTCTAGTAATGCTTTTTCCATTAAAAAAAAAAGGTTTAGAAACTTAAACTCATAAACAATCCTACAATTGTTTTAGATAGATCTAGATGGCCCCATCAATGTTCTTCCTTCTGCTGTAAGATGAAGATTTCTGCTTGATTGTGCTATTTTTTTGTCTACAAAGGGTCAATATTCTGAAGGCAGAAATAGGCTGGAAAGATTCCTGTATGATAATCTACCCAAAGTGAACCTAAGTATTGGGTACCAGTATTTTAATGCTGTGCTTTCTATGTTCAGAGTTCCCAGGCCAGCACAAATAGTTTATCCAAATGTAAAGAGTTTTCTTTAAGAATTGTAATATTAAACATTTTTGTTGATGAGGAAATGCACATTCCTGATGCTCTTATAGTAGTCAGAATTAGATAATGCCTTCTCATTGTTATTCAGGTTTCTCTGGTCTTCTGTTCACAGTTATTTTTTTGGAGGGTTTGACGTAAGAGATACCATGATTCATTAATCATTTAATCTCCACATGCTGAATAATTATGGACTTTAGTGAAAATAGAGATGTGTCATCAAATAATAAAGATGGAGTGATTCCCAGCAGTGAATAGTCTTTATTCCTTCTGTCTGAGTTTGGTGGTTATTTTCCTGATATATTAATTTTAACATTATCAAATACTGTTTGCATTTATTCTTGTTTTAAAGTTACTTATCCCACATCTAAGAAAAAATTATATGTTTGAAAATACAGGGGAAGGGATATTAAGACCATCCTCTTGAATATAGAAGCCTGTAAGTGAGCTCCACTTTTTGTATCCTTTTGTGGGCTATTATAAGGTTGATCCTTTTGAACAGAACAATCAGTAGACAATGAGGAATGGATAATATCAAATGTTAAAGTACAAATCTTAATTAACAAATCTGAGTAAACGGGATCTAATTAATAATGGAAGAAATCTCTAATTTTCTCAGTGTTGGAATGATATTGTTATGAGTAACCATAATGCAAATGAAGTAGCATTTAGTGAAGCAACTCCCAAACGTATCTCCAGGTGGTAATCAAGAACATGATGTCCAATTTAGTTTTAGCAGAAACATAAAGATTTTTGCATTCTATTTTTTTAAATCTACACAATAGTAACTATAATAAAGTTGATTTCTGTTTGTCCTCTTAGTTTAATGATTTCCTCTTACTTTCTGATTTTTAGGATCCAGCATTTTCTTCAGTGATTCATGACAAACTACAAGTTCCCAATACTACCCGCAAAGCATGGAATGAGAGAGACAACCGGTGTGATGTGTGTGCCACTCACTTGAACCAGTTGAAGCAGGAGGCTATTCAGATGGTCTTAACACTTGAACAAGCTGCCAATGCAGAACACTGTGATGCTTCTCCTTGCTCTCCTCCTCCCCTTCCCAATATCCCCACCTTAGTGGGCTCTCGACATATGGGCAGTCTGCAACCCAGAGACTGGGCATACCTGTCTGCTCCTTATGCTACTTCCAATTATGCTGGCTTTCTGCCTAATAAACTCAGTGGAAAAGTGAACAACATAGGAATCGTTAATGGGATAGAGAAGAAAAATGGTTCCTTGGGACACCAGACAAAGGTCAGTGTACAGATGGCTACCAGTCCCAGCAATGGTAACATCCTGAATTCTGTGGCTATCCAGGCTCATCAGTACCTAGACGGCACCTGGTCCTTGTCAAGAACAAATGGTATTACTCTGTATCCCTATCAAGTAAGTGGCGTTAGAAAGGATTTTCCCTCATTGATTCATACCTACAGAGTACTTTGTGGCTTTAAGAAATACATGTGTACTAATTAATTCTATGATAGACTGTCAAGTTATTTAATATAGAGTGGGTGATCTCATTTGCAATGACAGGAATTCATGACACTAAAATAAACCAAACATGCTGTCTTATATTTTTACAGTCTTCAACTTTGTCAACCATTCTGTAGATTGCAAAATTTGCAGTGCAAATAAAACCAAAGAAACACATCTTAAGGATATTTAGGATGTTGATTGTTAACAAAATAAAATTACTATAGTTATGAAATAGATCTTTAGGATGAAGCAGTAATTTGATCTCAGATAGGTTCAATGTTACTAAATGTGTTTGATAAATACAACTAGTGCTGCAGCATTCTAAACATAGTGTTCTAAACATAAAGTAGTGTTTTTTCTGGAAAATCTCCTAATGGGGAGAAATGCAGATGCAGAATCTTTTTTCTTCTCTGCCCAGAAAAATTCTAGATAGGAATTTCAGCAGGTTATAACGCTATTAAAAGCTTAAGAAGGTAAGCTTCTAGGAGTGGTCATGACCTTGAATATAAACAAGGTAACAGTAGTCCTTTGGAATTTTCTTCCTTCTATATTTCCAGCTGCTAAAGCCGAGAAATGAAACTATACTCAGTGGTTGGGTCACCATCCAAACAGTGGGAATAGATGTTCTAAAAGGATATAGTCTCTACACAAGATTCAAACTCTTGCAGAATCAGCCTTCAAGACCATGTTGAAGAGTCAGTATATGGAGAGAAGTCTAGCGTGGCCGTAGCCTGCCAAGACACGTTAGCAAAGCCAGAGAATGTGGTGTTACTATTCTTCTGTGATTGTAAGCAGGTGTGACATCACCTTTAAAGAGCTAATGTTACTTTGTGCTCTGTTTTTGTTTGTTTTACTGATTCTCCATTTCAGTGTAATGGAGGCTAAATTACAATCAGACTAAAACATTTATTGAATAATGGCCATGTTCGTAACTGCAGTACTGGTAATTATGTTATCGTCTGAGATTTTTCTTCCATTAAAGGTACAAGGAGATGCTTTATCCCTAAACAAAATAGCATAGAGGGGCATGGAGATGATCAGAGACTGCTTAAGGCTGCTGTACAGAGTCAGCCTGTTTCCACTGGCAGTATTTTTCAGAAATGCTGATCTAATAAGCCAAGGGGAAAAAATCATTGGATAAAAAGTATTATAAATCTAGCAGTGGGATTCATTGCCTTGTTCATCATCTTTTATCAATTTGATGTCCTGGAACAAGAGCTATGGGATGGCTAGAGATGGCATCTCACCACTGCCGGTAACTTTCCTGGCAGAATTGATAGCCTGCCTGGCAGAATCGGTTGACTGTTACGAAGGTTGATCTTATTTTATTCTGTAGACTCTATGCATCTGAAATAAGAAAAAAATACTGTCTTGGACACACATCTCAGGGAATCTCAACACAGAGATCTACCAAGAAAAGGAACTCAATCATATTTAACTTTAATATGTAAGCAAGCTTGGTCCAAGCCTTTAAAAGCATGGGGATTAAATAGATAGGGGAGAAAAAGTAGTGAGAATTTTTTCATTTTGTGCAGGCTGGCCATACTTTGATTGAATGAGATGGTTCCCTCAGACAACAGGTTTTGGGATATCATAAAAGGGCAGGAAGTGGTTGTTACTTTATTATATTTGTAATGCCAGATACTGGAAGAGATGCTTTTTGAATTTCCTGCCTCATGTGCCCTAGACACTGTGCAGGTTGCCACTTGCTATTTATTCTTATTGTGGTAAATTGTATAGAGCCAGTTCTGTATTAGCAGCTTGTACAATTTTATAGAAGAATGATTATATGAGAGTTATAGATAGTCCTCATTTAGTGATGGACTCATGCAGTGACTGTTCACAGTTACGAAGGTGATGAAAAAGTAACTTGGTAACCAATCTTTGCATTTACGACCTCCACAAGTCTGTAAACAAATGAAAGCTGAAGTGAGATCATGACCAGAGTTGCTGTTTCACCTCACTTAACAACCAAGTTGCCAGTCCCAATTGCAGTCACTAATGAAAACTATCTATACTTATATGAAATGTATGGGTATAGTTATACATATATGTATTCTGCCCAAGTAAGGTTTAATATTTGATTTCTTGTTGTGAATTACTTTATTTGCCGATTGCCGAAAATGAACTTCTTTTTAAAGGTACAACAGGGGGATGGATTGCCTTTTTTCCTCGTTAGTAAATTGGTGATCTTACTGCCTGGATTGAGAGTTTGAAATGATAGGACAAGTGCAACAGCACTGCTTCTTATTTGTAAGAATAGCAGGTATAACATGTTCTCAATAATGAATATTCCTTGATTGATTATATTCGGATTGGATGATATTATGTTAGCTTGGAATCACATGCAATATTTTTTGATGGCTTGAAAACTGTAAATAGCTGGTCAATGACACAAGAGTGATTCATGTTTTCTTTTTCCTCCACTGGTTTTTGATGCAGTTTAAAAAGAGAATGATAATGATGATGGTGGTGATGGTGATGATGTTATTAAGTCTAATTCAAGTCTAATGAAAGCATTTCAGTTTTCATGTAAGCCTTAATTTATGGAATTGATGTTTTCCATAATTGTAGTTTGACAATATTCCAAGAATCATGAAAATATGTTTTGGAGGATCCCATGCAGTTCTGAGACCTTAAGTTCCAACCATTGGTGTACAAGACAAAAGCAGAAATTTAACTCTGGAAAAATAACACTGTGTTTCTTAAGAAAATTTCAAACACAGATTTTTTAAATAGAAAAGCTGGAAGTGGTTTTTAAAAAATAAGATTTGATGTATAACCTTAAATATAGTAATAAGCTATAGGAAATAAAGCTTCTAGTTATATTTGTTAAGTGGCTATTGCTATATATCAAGTTAGGAATCTTTTTATAAAGTAAGAATAATAATGAAGCAGTCCATAAAATCTGTTTCGAATGTCATGAGGCTATATCAAACAGATATCCTATATATCTTATCTAGGAGATAAAGGAAGCAACTATCAGAATATTTATACAAATACTAAAGATAAAAATAATGTGTAGGGTTTTTTTGGGTTAAAATATAACGTATCCATAAATCATTTTAGAACCTATGCGAGTCTATATGATAGAAAAAAGAAAGAAAATACTGAATTCTTCCTTTATCTCCCTTTTATTTTAACACATTTTTTAGAGACAGCTTGGGAATCCAATCTTGGATCCTTCATTGAAGAAAAACTCTCAAAATCATGCCTCACACCCCAGTGGGTGCCATTTATATTTTCCTCCTCATGTACAAGGAGAATCCTTACAAACACATACCTTTCTGATCAGATTTATATTGCCACAATAAACTACAAATGGATAGACATAGACCACAGGAGCTCTGAAATCACTTTAATGAGGGGCGGGTTAGCTACTAGTAAACTAATCTTGATGGGTGTCTCAGAATACACAACTTTCCACTAGGTTTTCCTGCCAAAAATTGAAGTAGCGGCTCACCCCAGAATGTGTAGTCTTGCAGTGGTGCAGGAAATTTTGAAAGGCAGTAAGGTCAAGATGAACATTCTATTTTGCCTTTGATTTTTGCTTATGGTCCTCTATTTTATACTTGCCCATTGCAGGGATTAGCTGCGCAACTTGGTATAGCAGACAATCAAGTACTCCCCAAGGAAAGATGGGGGCCAGTCTAGGGAGTCTGGTTCTTGGAACTTTTCAACAGCTTTCTATGGAATACAGTCAGTGGTGGGATTCAGCCGGTTCACACCGCTTCAGCAGAACCGATAGCTAACTTTTTGTTGCTCAGGCTCAGAATGGACTTCCAGAAGCGGCATCCACACAGAGAACAGGTTATTCACATATTTGAATCCCACTACTGAATACAGTCTATAATAAAAGGGGTAAAGTCACAAATAGAGCAGTAAGGGAAGGGACTAGACCAGGGGTCTGTAACTTTGACAACTTTAAGACTTGTGGACTTCAGCTCCCAGAATTCCTCAGCCAGCTATGCATAGCTGATTGAGGAGTTCTGGGAGCTGAAGTCCACAAATCTTAAAGCAAGGTTGCAGATGCTCACTAGCTCATCATCTTTCTATGACCAGAAGAATTGTTTTTGTCCCTCTTACTTACATATTTGTATGTTTGTTTCAGTTTTTATAGTCACTCATTAGCTGAGTAATTTTGCATAGTTATTAAGTTAAAGGCATAAACAATACATCCACTATGAATACAGTAGTTTTTGACTTAACAACTATTCATTTAGCAATCGTTCAATGTTACAACAGCACTGAAAAAAGTGATATGTGCAGGGCTCACATTTACAACTGTTGCAGCATCCCCCGTGGTCACATGATCAAAATGTGGGTGCCCCAAGGTCAGGTGATCTCTATTTATGACCTTCCCAACCAGCTTCCAACAAATAAAGTCAATGGGGGAAGCCAGATTTTCATAACAACCAAGTTCTTTGCTTAAAAACTGCTGTGATTCTCTTAAGAACTGAGGCAAAAAGGTCGTAAAATTGGACACGACTCACTTGACAGTCATCTTGCTTAGGAACAGAAATTATAGTCTCCGTTGTGGTCATAAATCAAAGATACCTGTATAAAAAATAACAAATAGCATATAAATTCACATAGCACAACCAACACATACAGATGGATTATGTAATATTTCAGCCCAGTACTTCAAAGAAGAGACAGGTCTTCAGATTTTTTTAAAAAGCTAGCAAAATTAGGGCTCATCCACATTTTGAAGTGGATGTTTTTCCAAAGGGCAGCCACAGGGACAGAAAAGTCATGCTTCCTGAATCTCATGAGATGGCACTGTTTAATAGTCAGGAGCTGTCCGATTTTATTGGATAGACACAGATGTTCACAGATTGGTAATCCTGCAAGTAACCAGGCCCAATGCTATGAGAATTTTAGTTTTGGTCCTGCCTTCCTTCTAAGAC